GCACCGACTCTCTGTTGGCACTGCAGCGTCTCCTCTTCCCTCACCCGCGTGTCTGCTCCGTTCCCAGCTTATTTTAGGAACCTGGAAAGCTGTTGGAGCTGCTCTGGAGTCGCTGGGGTGTCTCTTGTGCTCGTGGCTGTTGTTCTTGCCTCGCTTCAGACACAATATTTGTCTGTTCTGCACAAAGAGGGGCAGAGGGAAATAATAACAGATAAATACAACAGATAAATATCTGTTTTTTCCTGCAACTCCCTCTCCTGCCCCCACACACCCCAGCTGGAGATTCCAGCCTTCCAGCACTGCTTTTCCAAGGCAGACTGTCTTTTCCAGGAGGTTACCCAGTGCTGCTGGAGCTGTGGCAGAGCTCAGGGTGATGCTCAGCTGAGCTGTTCCCGCTGGCCCCGGGCCTGGCCTGACTCTCCTTCCAAACTGGCACCTCCAGCCTGTCCTGCTCAGCTGCCCAGGGCAGCTCGGGTGAGCTTGGACACCTGGCAAACCAGGGCACCTGGGCCTGCCAGGACTCTCCTGAACCTGCCAGGACCCATCTGGACCTGCCAGGACCTATCCGTGCCGGCCAGGATCTACCTGTGCCAGCCAGGACCCTCCTGAACCTGTCAGGACCCACCTGGACTTAACAGGACCCACTTAGACTTGCCAGGACCTACCTGTGCTGGCCAGGACTCACCTGAACCTGCCAGGACCCACCTGGACCTGCCAGGACCCTCCTGAACATATCAGGACCTACCTGTGCTGGCCAGGACTCATCTGCACCTGACAGGACCTACCTGTGCTGGCCAAGACCCTCCTGAACCTATCAGGACCCACCTTGACCTGCCAGGACCTATCTGTGCTAGCCAGGACCCTTCTGAACCTGCCAGAACCTATCTGTGCTAGCCAGGACCCTTCTGAACCTGCCAGGACCTACCTGGGCCTGCCAGGACCCTCCTGAACCCGTCAGGACTCGCTTGGACCTGTCAGGACCCACCTGAACTTGCCAGGACCCACCTGGACCTGCCAGGACCTACCTATGCCTCCTGGCTCTGGACAACGAGGTCCCTTTGTAGGGTGACATTTTGGGAGCCACCTCCCACTGGCACTGGTACCCCTGGGCATGTGCCAGCCCCTCCAGCCCCTTCCTATTCCCAATCCTGGAATAGATTCCCAGGAAAAAAACTGGGTTATGATGCAATTAAGGCTGAGAAGATGAATCAGGGATTTTGGGAGGGGGGGGGAGAAACCCTAAATGTGGCAAGGGAGGTGACAGAGATCCCAGAGATCCCAGAGATCCAGAGATCCTGGAGATCCCGGAGATCCTGGAGATCCAGAGATCCCAGAGATCCCAGAGATCCAGAGATCCCAGAGATCCCACGTGGAGCTCAGGCCCCAGGAGCTGGAGCCCTGCTGGGCTCTGAGCCCTGGAATTCCTTCCCCCCTGGGAGCTTCCAGGCAGGGAAGAGCCCCGGGGATGGGAAAAACCCCTGGATAATGGCAGTGCAGGGAAAAGGTACATCCCGATGGGAAAAACCCCTGGATGATGGCAGTGCAGGGAAAAGGTACATCCCGATGGGAAAAACCCCTGGATGATGGCAGTGCAGGGAAAAGGTACATCCCAATGGGAAAAACCCCTGGATAATGGCAGTGCAGGGAAAAGGTACATCCCGGTGCCATGGCAACCTGGCTGGGCACCGGGGCTGTGGGAGCTGCCAGGCTGGGAGAGGGATGAGCTGGGAGAGGGATGAGAAGTTCCCTCGGGAAACGGGAATGATAAGTGTTCTGGGAGATGCAGTGGCAACTGGGGGGGGTGGCAGGGAGGGGCACCAGACCCCGGGGGTTGGATGGGCCCTGTGGCCCGCCGGGTTCTGGTCTCGTCACGGAGTGTGTCCTGGTTCAGGAGCGTTGGAGGGGAGAATCCCAGAATTCCAGAATGGTTTGGGGCGGAAGGGACTTGAAAACACGTCCAGTGCCACCCCCTGCCACGGGCAGGGACACCTCCCACTATCCCAGAGTGCTCCAACCTGGCCATGGACACTTCCAGGGATCCAGGGGCAGCCACAGCTTCTCTGGGAATTCCATCCCAGCCCCTCCCCACCCTCCCAGCCAAGAATTCCTTCCCAATATCCCATTTAAATTTCCCCTCTCTCACTTTGAAGCCATTCCCTGTGTCCTGTCCCTCCATCCCTCATCCCAAGTCCCTCTCCAGCTCTCCTGGAACCCCTTTAGGCCCTGGAAGGGGTTTAAGGTCTCCTTGGAACCTTCTCTTCTCCAGCCTGGCCTTGGACACTCCCAGGGATGGGGCAGCCACAGCTTCCCTGTGCCAGGAAGAGCCTCTCAAGGTGGAATTTCCTCCCTGTGCTTTCTGGGAAAACGTGGGTGGGTGTGTGTGTGGGGGGAGAAAAATGTTCTTAAAGCATTTGCCTTAATTAAGCTTTTTTTTTTTTTTTTAATATATATATTTGGAGGGACAGTCACAGCCAGAAGAATCCACACATTCCCAATAACTCATCCCTCCAACGAGCCTGACTAAGCCCCAGGGAGAGCTCCCAGTGCTTGGATCTCATCGAAAAAAAGGAGGAAAATCATCCTGGAATCGTTCCCTGCCCAAAAAAAACCATCTCAGGGGGTTTGGTTGATGATTTGAGCACCTGGAGGGGCAGCTGCTGCTCCGTGGAGCTGGAGCTGGAAACCAGCTCATCCAAAAAAACCCTTCCCCCTCTAAGGAGTCGTTCCTAAATGAGGGATTGGCACGGGAATTCCCTGGAGCCGGAGTTCCACACGGAGAATTCCGCCTGCTGAGGGCTGGGAAGGAGCAATCCCCTCATTCCAGGAAGGCCAGGGAGGAGGAAATCCCTAAGGAATGATTTTGTGGGGCAGGAAGAGAGGAGCAAAGTGCACAGAGGGATCCCATCCCATCCCATCCCGATCCCATTCCAGCCAAATCGGGCCGAAAACTGGGAAATGGCCAAAGAAGATCTTCAGGGAAGGGTTTGGGCTGTGAAGAGACTCAAAATGTTCAAATCCCCACAGAGCAGCCCTGAGTGCTTGGGGATAACAGGGGGGAAAGGTCCCTCCTTCCCAGTGGGAAATCTCATGGAATTCTGGCATGGTTTGGGTTGGGAGGGACCTTAAAGCTCATCTCCTCCCACCCCAAAAACCTCAACCCCTTCCCCTGATTCCAGCCTCAAATCCCAAAGGATTTTGCCTCAGGCCCTTCTGTGCACACCCCACATTCCAGACTCCCTTGGCTCATCCCCAGCTCCCCCTCCCAGCACCAAAACAGGGATGAGGAAAAAAGAGGGAAACCCCCCTGGGTTTAAAGGGAAAAACAGGTGGAGCCAGAGCTGGGAAACCCTTTTCTTCCCTGAGCTTGGAGGGGGGGGAAAACTGAGTCCTGCATCCAGGTGGATCCCACAGTATCCAGGTGAATCCCACAGTATCCAGGTGGATCCCATGGTATCCAGGTGGATCCCACAGTATCCAGGTGGATCCCACGGCATCCAGGTGGATCCCACAGTATCCAGGTGAATCCTACAGTATCCAGGTGGATCCTATGGTATCCAGGTGAATGTCACGGTATCCAGGTGAATGTCACAGTATCCAGGTGGATCCCATGGTATCCAGATCCCATGGCAGCCAGGGGATGAGGGGGAACAGGGAGACGCCCCCGGAATGTCAGAGCCGCTCCCGGAGCAGCTCCTGGCGCTGGAAAAGTGGTGAGTCACCATTCCCATGGCAACTCCACTTCCCTTGGAGACATCCCGGGGTTGGGAGCCACCGGCAAGGACTGAGGAGTGCCCGGCACCTGGGAACCAGGGAATGGGAAAGGTGGGAAAGAACCTCCGAGCCCAGGGAGTCCAATCATCCCCCAGCGCTGCCACGGCCACCCGTGTCCCCAAGGGCCACATCCACGGGTTTTTGGGGCACTTCCAGGGATGGGAACTCCACCCCCACCCTGATTTAGGTGTAGATCCGGATTCAGATCCCAGATTTCGGGTGGGGATGCTCCCTCAGGGACAGCTGGCACTGCTTCCCGGACCTGGCATGGATCCCTGCCCAAATCCATGGAAACCCTTCCCTGCAGAGCTCCCCGAGGGTGCCCAGAGCTCCAGCTGTGTGTGGGCTGGCTCTGGGCACAGACACTTCAGCAGCTCCTCTCCCTCCAGCAGATGCATCCCCGGATTTCACAGCTTGGGAAGAGCAGCAAAAACCAGCTGGAATCTTCGGGATGGTGCCAGGGCCGAGCTGGGAAGTGCAAAACAACTTCCCAGCCTTTTAGCAGCTGCCTCACACATCCCTCTTGGAGCCCTTCCCATTCCTCTGACATTCCACCTGCTCCCTCACTTTCCCATTCCTCACTCCACCTCTTCCTCACCTTCCCATTCCTGACACTCCACTTGCTCCATCCTCACCTTCCCACTCCTCTGACATTCCATCTACTCCCTCTTCACCTCTCCCACTCCTCTGACACTCCATCTACTCCTCACCTTCCCATTCCTTACACTCCATTTGGTTCCTCACCTTCCCACTCCTGACATTCCACCTGTTCCCTCCTCTCCTTCCCATTCCTCTCACATTCCACCTGCTCCCTCTTCACCTTCCCATTCCTGACACTCTTCCTGCTCCCTCACTTGCCCACTCCTCTGACATTCCACCCCCCCTTCACTTCTTCACTCCTGACACTCCATCTCCTCCTCACTTTCCCACTCCTGACACTCCACCTGCTCCCTCTTCATCTTCCCATTCCTCCACTCTTCCTGCCCCTCACCTTCCCACTCCTCATCCACCCGCTCCCTCCTCCCCTATCCCACTTTTCCCACTCCCCCTGCTCCTCCTCCTCACCCCACCAACCCCACCCAGCCTTGGCTGTGGCTCTTTGGTGCCCCCAGAAGCCACCACAACGTTCCCCCTGTGGAGACCCAACCACACAAACCTCCCCCCCAGCTGCCATTCCCAGCCATTCCCAACCATTCCCGGCCATCCCACAAATCCAGCCTGACTCCAGGTGCAAAGTCCTGCTTGTATTTGGCTGGTAAAGTGCGAGGCAGGGACACAAGGCCTGGTGGTGGAGCTTGGACAGGACACGTGGCAGCTCAGAGTGGAAAAAAGGCTTTTCCAGGGCTGCTCCGAGGCCGCCGGAGGTGGGAATTAGACCTGGAACAGCCCCCTCCCGATTCCCACCTCGCTGGAATCCTGGGAAACGCTCCAGGCACGACGAAAGAAGGACCAGGCCGTGTCTCTGAGGTGGAGCTCTACAAACCCTTGGACACAGCAAAGCACGGGGCAGGGAGGGCACACCCGCCCGGCTCCTCCGGGCATTTGGGATCACCGGCATCACCCGCTCTCCCAAAAAAAAGCCCCCCAAGAGCCCCCAGCCTGGCTTTTTCCCCCCACAGTCCAGGAGGCTGGGGCGAGTTCCGAGCTCCAGAGGGTCAGGAAGGCCCTGGCTGCATGGATTCCTCAGAGGACCTGCTCGGTGCTGGACGAGGAGATGTCCAGGAGCCTCCAGGCCGCGTAGGGATTGAGCTCGTCCTGGTCCCGGCACAGGGCCCACACGTAGAGCATCCTCAGCACCTTGTCCTGCAGGGAAAATCCCGGGATTAGCCAGGGCAGGGACACAGCTCCCGGCTCCCAGGCACGGGATCCACGTATCTGATGGAGCTGGGGGGGCTCAGCCTGGAGAAAAGGGGCTCCCAGCTCCCAGTCTGGGGGGAAAGGATCCAAGTTTCTGATGGAGCTGAGGGGGCTCAGCCTGCAAAAAGGGGACTCCCAATTCCCAGTTCCCAGTTTAGGGGGAAAGGATTCCCGTTTCTGATGGAGTTGAAGGAGCTCAGCCTGCAAAAAGGGGCTCCCAATTCCCAGTTCCCAGCTCTGGGGAGAAAGGATCCTCATTTCTGATGGATCTGGGGGGGCTCAGCCTGGAGAAAAAGGGCTCCCAATTCCCAGCTCCCAGTCTGGGGGGAAAGGATCCACGTTTCTGATGGAGCTGAGGGTGCTCAGCCTGCAAAAAAGGGGCTCCCAGTTCCCAGTTTGGGGGGAAAGGATCCAAGTTTCTGATGGAGCTGAGGGTGCTCAGCCTGGAGAAAAGGGGCTCCCAATTCCCAGTTCCCAGTTTGGGGGGAAAGGATCCACGTTTCTGATGGATCTGGGAGGGCTCAGCCTGGAGAAAAGGGGGCTCAGGGAGAACCTTCTCCCTCTCCACAACTCCCTGCCAGGAGGAGGGATCCAGGGGGAGTCTCTTTTCCCAGAAAACACAAATCCCAGGACCTCAAGTCACACCAGAGGAGGTTTAGCTTGAACATCAGGGATCTTGTTTTTTCATGGAAAGGGTCCCCACTCCTGAAAATTCCCCAAAAACCTGTGGCTGTGGCCCTTGGGGACATGGATTGACGATCCCAAAGCTCCTTTTTAACCTGAATAATTCCAGGATTCCTTTCCCTCCCACGGACACCGTTCCTGTGATTTTCCTCTCTGCTTCCAACTTCCCTCTCCTGGAACTTCATCACAAGATCAAAACTCGCCGAATTTCCAAAATTAGAACCAGGGTTCCCAAAAATCCCTGCCTGACACACATTAGGAGGCCCCACTGCCAAAAGTTGGATAAGACTTGACCTTGTTTTGTTGGTTTTTTTTAAGCAGAAATTTTTGGGTTTTAAAATTGCCTGGGCTGGAACTTTCCATCCAAGATTTAGGATCTTTAGCTCTTCCCTGGGAGCTGCATTTGGAAATATTAATGTATTTTAAAGCAAATTTTCTTTATTTTTTTGGAGTGTTTCGGATGATTTCGCTTCAGTTCTGCTCTGAAGTGGTAAAATCATCCAGATGTAAAATCATCCAGATGTAAAATCATCCAGATGTTTTTGGGATGTGCCAGGAGGAAAAAGAGGGGATAAGAGAAGGAAAACACATCCACAACCATCCCAATGGATCTTTCCTGAGGATAAACCACTTGGAATAAGCTCAGGATGAAGTGGCTTGAACTGATTTAGTGGTTTGAACTGATTTAGTGGAACCTGGATTTGGGTGGGTTTATAGGATTTGGGGTTTTTTTCTGACCTGGTGCTCTTATTAATGGGGAATATCTTAATCCTCAGTGGACATCTGCTCCATATATCCATGGAAAGTGGGAATTCTGGACCCCCCCAGAGGCAGATTTCTGCCAATCTGTCCTGAAATCTGGGATTTTAAAGAGATTCCCTTGACCTGGTTGTCCAAGGCCTCCTCTTCTCAATTTTCTGGGAACCTGAACAATTCCAAGCAGGCTAAAAATCCCAGGGGGGATTCCAAGCAATGCCTGTTTGGAGAATTTCCAGTCTGCAGCTGGAAGTTGTGGCTGCTCCAAAGCCCCCAAAGCCAATTTGGGGCAACCTGGGATAGTGGAAGGTGTTTAAGGATGAGCTTTAAGGCCCCTTCCAACCCAAATCATCCTGTGATTCCATGGATTTGAGACTCCTCTTCCCCTAAAACGCCCCAATCCCAGTCACCACCCAGGCTGCCACTTGATTAAAGCTCAATTTTGGTTTCCAGTGGAAGGTTTTAATGCATCTCCTTGATTTATTGCTGCCCCCAGAGAAATCAGACAGCCAACAGACTTTGATATCCTGTTCCATAATGATCCCATCAATATCCATCTTCCAGGAATGCACTAATTTAATGCAAGGAATCACTGGATCAGCTGTTCCTCCCCCTGCAGCCCCAGTGACAGGCTGTAAATCAGCCCAAGAATTCAAATTAATCCCTTTTTTTTTTTTTGCAAACTAAAGGCAAGGGTTGCAAAAAAAAAAAAAGAGAAAAAAAGCCAATATTTATTAAATGCCTGTATTAATCCCAAGGAAAACGAGCTGGGAACTGCCAGCTCCAGACATCTCCCTCATTAGCCATCATTAAGCTACTTAAATATTGCACAGGCACGAGGCAGGTTGGAGCTGTCTGGAGTGAAACTCCTGGGAATAAAGGTATTCCAGAGGCTCCTCTGTCATCAATTCTGGGAACAAGGATGTTCTGACAGCTTGACATCACTCCAGCCCCAGCTCCCAAGAGGTGCCAGGGATTTGCTCCACAAATCATTCCCTGCCCGAGGCTTCCCCAGGAACCACACACGGCGTTAAATCCAATTTATGGATGGCGGAATTCCATGGAATTCCATGGAATTTCACTCACCGGATTTCCTTCCACCACCTCTCCTTTGTGGTTCTTTATCACCATCACGACCTGAGCCTGGAAGGTGATGATCAAAACTGGTCCCTGCTCCATCATCTTCCCCATGGCCAACTGCAAGGAGAGGGAATTCCGTCAGAAAATAAGGAAATGCCCTCAGAAAAACAGAAAATTCCATCAGAAAACTAGAAAATTCCCTCAGAAAACTAGAAAATTCCATCAGAAAACCAGCAAGTTCCACCAGAAAACCAGCAAGTTCCACCAGAAAATAAGCAAATTCCCTCAGAAAACCAGAAAATTCCCTCAGAAGACTAGAAAATACCCTCAGAACACCAGCAAGTTCCATCAGAAAACCAGTAAATTCCATCAGAAAACTAGAAAATTCCTTCAGAAAACCAACAAATTCCCTCAGAAAACCAGTAAATTCCATCAGAAAACCAGAAAATTCCCTCAGCAAATAAGCAAATTTGGTGCTGTTTGCCTTTGGAATTAGCCTTCCCCAATCCAGCTGCTGCTGAGCCGAGCCAAGGTGCCCCGAGAGCAAGGACACAAACCACAGACTCGGGCTCGAGCACAAAATTCCAGGAGTTTTCCCTTCCGGAGCGGGATTCTGCCTCCCATCAGAGGGATTCTCCCTTCCAGAGTGGGATTCTCCCTTCCAGCAGTGGGATTTTCCCTTCTGGAGTGGGATTTTCCCTTCCAGAGTGGGATTCTCCCTTCCAGAGTGGAATACTCCCTTCCAGCAGTGGGATTTTCCCTTCCAGAGTGGGATTCTCCCTTCCAGCAGTGGGATTTTCCCTCTCAGCAGTGGGATTTTCCCTTCCAGAGTGGGATTCTCCCTCCCAGCAATGGAATACTCCCTTCCAGTAGTGGAATACTCCCTTCCAGCACTGGAATTCTCCCTTCCAGCAGTGGGATTCTCCCTTCCAGAGTGGGATTCTCCCTTCCACCAGTGGGATTTTCCCTCCCAGCACTGGAATTCTCCCTTCCAGCCCTGGGATCTGTCCCTGTGGGAGCAGAGCTGCCCAACCCCAGAGGCAAAACCCAGCAGTTAAAGCAAAAACGGTTGGATTTGATGACCTTGGAGGTGTTTTCCAACCTTAAAAATTCCAAGAAAACCCCTGCTGAGTTTAATCCAGGCCCCAAAGTGAAATCCTGGGACACTCACGTCGATGTTGTCGATGTCCAGGATCCTGGAATGGAACTGGAGCCCCAAGGCTTTGGCTTGCTGGATGGGATGAGCCAGCTGGCTGTAAGTCTAAAAGGAAGCAACAAAAAAAAACCCCTTTGGAATTGTCCTGTCCCAAAGAAAAAAGAGGAAGTTCCATGCAGGGAGAACCAGCAAAAAACCAAAGGGAAGAGGGATCTGCTGGGATATTGAAGTGGGATATCCAGGGATATCAGGACTCTCCAAGCACCACCTTTTTGGGGCAGCTCGGGTGTGCCTGCAGCTTCCCAGCCGGTTTTTGGGGATCTCCCAAAGCCCTAAATAATTTTGGGAAGGTGCTGGATGGGTGTCTGGTAGCAAAGAGCTGCACCAGCGCTCCGGGGTTCCCCAAAATTCCCTTCTAAATCCCATTTTTCCCTGCCAAGAATGTGTGGACACCAAGGCATTCCTTCCACCCTTCGCCACAAGGGAACATCCCGTAGGAATTCCAGGATTGGAGCCATGGAGAGGGAATTCCAAAGGCAGCAAATCCCAAAGCATCCCGGCTTGAGCACACAATTCCAGGAGTTCTCCCTTCCAGAGCGGGATTCTGCCTCCCAGCAGTGGGATTTTTCCCTTCCACCAGTGGAATTCTCCCTTCTAGCAGTGGGATTCTGCCTTTCAGAGTGGGATTCTCCCTCTCAGCAGTGGAATTCTCCCTTCCAGAGTGGGATTTTCCCTTCCACTAGTGGGATTCCCCTTCTAGCAGTGGGATTCTCCCTTCCACAGTGGGATTCTCCCTCTCAGCAATGGAATACTCCCTTCCAGAGTGGAATTCTCCCTTCCACCAGGGGATTCCCCTTGGGGATTCTCCCTTCCACCAGTGGGATTCTCCCTTCCAAAGAGGAATTCTCCCTTCCACCAGTGGGATTCTCCCTTCCAAAGAGGAATTCTCCCTTCCACCAGTGGGATTCTCCCTTCCACAGTGGGATTCCCCTTCCAGCACTGAGATTTTCCCTCCCAGAGTGGGATTCTCCCTTCCAGAGTGGGATTCTCCCTTCCAGCAGTGGGATTCTCCCTCCCAGCAGTGGGATTCCCCTTCCAGAGTGGGATTCTCCCTCCCAGAGTGGGATTTTCCCTTCCACCAGTGGGATTTGGGATAAACCCCCCCATGGATTTTGTGCTGCCAGTTTTATTCCAAGGCTTTAATGATCCCAAACTCATCCTGTGGGATGACTCCCTTAAGAGGCTTTACCTCCAAATATCGGGAATATTCTCCCATTATCCTCCCCTTTCTTATTTTCCTGCTGATTCTGGACTTCAGAGCTTTAATTTCTAATTACAAGGCTCCGAAATGTTTGATTTTTGGGCTCGGGAAGCACAAGGAATCCACTGCTTTTCCCAGGGGAATCCTTCCAAAATCCTGCCTCTTCCAGCCCTCTGGTGGTGGGGACACGGAGGAGACTCGCTCCGAGAAATTCCAGTGGTTAACCAGACAGCAGGAATATTTTGAGGCCTAAAATCCAATTATTTTGGGGCCTAAACCACAATTATTTTGGATTTTAAACACAATTATTTTGGATTCTACATGCCAATTATTTTGGATTTTAAGCACAATTATTTTGGATTTTACATCCCAATTATTTTGGGTTTTCCATCACAGTTATTTTGGATTTTACATCCCAATTATTTTAGATTCTACATCCCAATTATTCTGAATTTTTAACACAATTATTTTGGATTTTACATCACAAATATTTTGGATTTTACATCCCAATTATTTTGGATTCTACAGCCCAATTATTTTGGATTCTAAACAGAATTATTTTGGATTTTGGAGCACAATCATTTTGGAGGAGTGAAGCCCAGAACAAATCTCTATTTTCAGGCAAAGCTCTGCTTCCATGGAGTCAAATAATACAATATATTATATTATTATATATATAATATATACTATTATATTATGATATAATATATTATTATATTATATTTCTGACATAAATCCCCTCTCAGCCTCTTCTCCAGGAGAACCAGGCCCAGCTCCCAAGCCAAAAAAAAGCCCAATAAACCAATTTCCAAGGGAAAATCCCCCCCTTCCCGGGACATTTCCAGGAGCTCCACTCACGGCCTCGTAGCACCAATCCTTGAGGATCTCGAGCTCCCCGGATATCAGAGCCTGGGAAAAGGGAATCAAACAGGGACATTTTAACACAGGGTGGAAATAAGCAGCAATTCCAGCAGCAAAACACCCTAAATCCAAGGAAAACAGGAGTTTCAAAGAGGAACAGGAATAAGGACTTCAAAAAACACGCATGAACTGAGTCCAATAAATCCAACAAATTTCCAGGATGAAGCTCCTAAACCTTCCTGGTAAACTTTCCTGTTGAATTTCCCATTAAAATTTCCAAAATAGTCCCCAGAATTCCCACTCCTGGGGAATTCTGAGGGATGGGATTGAACAGAAGCAGGAGGGACACGCCAAGAGTCAGATCAGGAAGTTTTCAAGGCTCTGAAAAATTCAGGGCCTGGAATGACCAGATTCCACTGGAAACTCCTGGGAAAGGTTTGTCTTTGAGAAACCCCTGGAATTTCTGACAAAACCCCTGGAATTTCTGACAAAACCCCTGGAATTCCTGACAAAACACCCGCTGGGTCTGTTTTTGGCAGACACCAAAAATCAAGTTAGCTCAGGGTGGGAAGGGTGGTTTTTAATCCAATGCTTCATAAATTGTAAAACTGGCAGGGAAAATTCCTTCTCCAAGAGTCAGGAGCAGGTTTTTCCCAACTTCTCCCTGGCACTGAGAGGAAGAACAGATTCCCAGAGAGCTCCCTCTTGTCCCTGAGCCATCACATCCCAGGAAGTCAGGGACAAAGCCCAGTTGGGATCAGTTTTTATTCCTCAGATCAGTTTTAATTTTCCAGATCAGTTTTTATTCCTCAAATCAGTTTTTATTCCCCAGATAAGTTTTTATTCCTTAGTTTTTATTCCTCAAATCAGTTTTTATTCCCCAGATTTGTTTTTATTCCCCAGATCAGTTTTTACTCTTCAAATTAGTTTTTATTCCTCAGATCAGTTTTTATTCCCCAGATTTGTTTTTATTCCCCAGATCAGTTTTTACTCTTCAAATTAGTTTTTATTCCTCAGATCAGTTTTTATTCCCCAGATCAGTTTTTATTCCTCAGATCAGTTTTTACTCCTCAGATCAGTTTTTATTCCCCAGATAAGTTTTTACTCCTCAGATCAGTTTTTATTCCCCAGATCAGTTTTTATTCCCCAGATCAGTTTTTATTCCCCAGATCAGTTTTTATTCCTCAAATCAGTTTTTACTCCTCAGATCAGTTTTTATTCCCCAGATCAGTTTTTATTCTTTAGTTTTTATTCCTCAAATCAGTTTTTATTCCTCAGATCAGTTTTTATTCCCCAGATCGGTTTTTATTCCCCAGATCAGTTTTTATTCCCCAGATCAGTTTTTATTCCTCAAATCAGTTTTTACTCCTCAGATCAGTTTTTATTCCCCAGATCAGTTTTTATTCCTTAGTTTTTATTCCTCAGATCAGTTTTTATTCCTCAGATCAGTTTTTATTCCCCAGATCGGTTTTTATTCCTCAGATTAGTTTTTATTCCACTGACCCTGCTCTTCTCCCTGAGTCCCAGATCCTTTTGGTACATCCCAAATTCCTTCCCTTATCCATTTTTTATCACCCCCTTCCCTTTGATCCCTCTGATCCCACATCATTTCTCAGGGCAGAGGATGATTTGCTGTTTTCCAGGCCAGAAAAAGAATTTATTAGTCTTTTAAATAATGAAATATTCTGCGGGAATTTTCTGGTTTTCTGAGGGAATTTGCTGGTTTTCTGAGGGTGTTTTCTAGTTTTCTGAGGGAATTTGCTGGTTTTCTGAGGGTGTTTTCTAGTTTTCTGAGGGAATTTTCTGGTTTTCTGAGGGTATTTTCTAGTTTTCTGATGGAATTTACTGTTTTTCTGAGGGAATTTGCTGGTTTTCTGAGGGAATTTGCTTATTTTCTGAGGGAACTTGCTGGTTTTCTGAGAGAATTTTCTGCTTTTCTGAGGGAATTTACTGTTTTTCTGATGGAATTTGCTGGTTTTCTGAGGGAATTTCCTGGTTTTCTGATGGAACTTGCTGGTTACTTGGGCTCCAACTTCCTTTTCCAAGGATGTTCAAGGAGCAAATCCCGTCCCGCCTTTTCGTTTGGGCGACGGGAAAAAATGAAAGGACGAAGTAAAAAAAAAGCAAAAACAAAGTAAAAAAAGGGAAAAAAATTCCAAGGAATGTCTCCCTCCCTCACCTCCAGGACGTTGGGGATGATGTCCCGCTCACACTGCTTCAGGAAACGATCCTTGTCAAAGGAGGGATCCACTTTGAGGATCTCCGTCAACACCTCCGACATCTCCGTCTTGGAGAACAATCCACCTGGGAAAACAAGGCAGTGGCACAAAACCAGCCCCTGGGGGGGTAAAACAAGGCAGGACCAGAGGGAGGAACAACTCCAGGCTTTAATTAAACCTGAGATTTATCCCAGAGATTTATCCCAGGCTTAACTTGTCATCTCAGAGCCCTTCTGATCCCTGAGCGATCCTGGAGAATGATCCAGGCAAAATGTGTGGAAAATGCTGGAAAGCTCCCAGAATTTGTCCCAAAAGGTGGGAAACAGCACAAGGAGGAGCAGGGGGAGTTCAGGGAGGAGCTGTTACCTATCAAGTCGGTGACTTTGTCGGTGACGGCGCGGGACGCTCGGATGAAGGCGTTGTCGCTCTCGTCGTACTTCATCTTCATCTCAAAGAACCCTGCCAGGAGAGCAGAGAGGGCTCAGAGCCCCTCCTGATCCAGGAAAACTGCCAGGGGTTGGGAATCAGAGCTCCCAGTTCCCTCCTCAATCTCCTGGATCACAACAGGCACCGACCACGAGGGACCTTTCCCATCGTCCTCCTTCTCAGCTCCCAAGAATTGGTTCTCAATTCCCAAGAATTGGTTCTCAACTCCCAAAAACTGGTTCTCAACTCCCAAGAACTGGTTCTTAACTCCCAAAAACTGGTTCTTAACTCCCAAAAACTGGTTCTCAACTCCCAAAACCTGGTTCTCACCTCCCAAGAACTGGTTCTCAACGCCCAAAAACTGGTTCTCAATTCTCAAAACCTGGTTCTCAACCCCCAAAAACTGGTTCCCAACTCCCAAAAACTGGTTCTCAGCTCCCAAGAATTGGTTCTCAACTCCCAAAAACTGGTTCTCAACTCCCAAAAACTGGTTCTCAGCTCCCAAGAATTGGTTCTCCTGCTTCAGCTGCCACAAACTTTGGGAGCTTCTGGAAGATTTGCAGGCAGAAAACACACCAGAAAACTGCCCTACACCAGGAACAGTCTGATTAAATCAGGAACAGTCTGATTAAATCAAGAATAGTCTGATGACACCAGGAACAGTCTGATTAAATCAGGAGTGATCTGATTACACCAGGAATAATCTGATTACACCAGGAACAGTCTGAGAACACCAGGAACAGTCTCACCCCTCGATTCAGTGCCCTGCAAGGGGCAGGAGATGTGAAAATCACCCCAGAAAGTTTCACCAGGGGAGGAAAATGATAGAATAGACCTTAAACTTGGTCAAATTTATAATAAAACAGCCCCACATCAGTGAGGGTGCAGTTTTTAAGCAGCTCCAAGTGCTCCTCAACCTCGCTGAGGGAGGAAGCCAAGTGTGTCCTGGCTCCAGAAGGGAAAACTCTGCAGAGGAAAAATCCCAAGGGCAGAAAAGGCAGGGGGGGACCTAAAAAAAACCCAGATATTGAAGTAAACAGGGCATTGCTGCAGCAAATCAGGGCTCTGGGCACCATCAGAGGGATCAGACCCACAGAAGGGATAACAGGCCCTGCAGGGAAGTTCTTTGGTTAAAAATGGGAATTATTCCCTGGAGGATTCTCCTGCCAGGAACACGGAGTGTTCTCAGAGTGAGACATCCAGGTGGTACCTGAAGGCAGAGCCTGGGGCAGCTGCAGCTCAGCCTGGACTCAAAACCAGCCTTGGAAAAATGTCTGAAGTCTAAAAAAAACCCCCCCAAGCTCGGGCAGATGGCTCAGGGCTGGAGGGGGGAGAGTTTGAGGAGCACCTCTCCTTGGAAAGCCTAAAAAGTGGGATGTAAAACCCACTCCTGGACACTTCCCAAGGAGCTCTGCTTTAAAAGCTGGGAAGAAACAGGATGTGAAGTTAATTATGTTGTACTTTCACACGATCATTTGGTTCCTGAACAAATCTTTTCCCCCCTCCAGCTCTGCCAGGGAGGGGTTTGATTTGTTGAAGGGTTCTGGTTTTAGGGCTTTTTCTGCCTCTCAGAAACATGAAATCCCTAAATAAACTACCCAAAGATATTCACAATTTGTAAGGTTTTGCAATAAAAACGGGAAGGAGGCAACGTCCCAGATATTCCAGAGATCTGGGCAGGGGCCAACAGAAACCAGATTTTAGGATCAGGGAATTCCAGAGTGGTTTGGATTGGAAAGACCTTAAAGATCATCTCATTCCAAACCTTGCCATGGGCAGGGACACCTCCCACTATCCCAGAGTGCTCCAACCTGGCCTTGGACACTCCCAGGGATGGGGCAGCCACAGTTTCTCTGGGAATTCTATCCCAGCCTCTCCTCACCCTGTTGATTTATAAGGATTTTCCTCAGCTCCAGGCCAGGAGGAGCAGACCTGGTGCCCTCTCCTGCCCTCTCCCTGCTGCTAGAAGTGCCCTTCCAGCCTCTTCCCAGAGCCACCACAAGGCTGGTGAGGGAAAAAGGGGGACAAAGAAGAGCTCAAAGAGTTCTTTTGGAAAACAGGTTTTGGTGCCTGCAGGGACTGATCCAGCAGGAGGGGCTGGAACACAGATGGAGCAGCTTGGAAAAGCTGCAGAGCTGTCAACTCTTCCTCCCCCCTTCCCATTCACACCACTCCCAGCACCAGCTCCAACCCCTTCCACAGGAAGGCTGGGAATTTGGGATTGGCACAGATGGAATGAGACCCCCACCAGCAGGAATCAGGGCTGGGAAAAAGAAGGAAGCTCCTGCTTTGCCTCTCGAACACTCACTGTTGAAAACCACGTTGTTGTCCTTGAAATCTTTCCACTGCTGGTACCACTTGGAGTCTTTGTGCAGCACCATTCCCATGGCCTCCCTGGAAAGGGCAGGAAACAGGGATAAAACATGGAGACAGGGGAGAAAATCAACTTACAACAGTGGGAGAACAAAGAGGAGGAACATCCCTGCAGCCCTGAGGCTGATGCAGAACAGAAGTGAGGAGACACATCAGTGATAAGCCCATAAATTATACACCAGATAAATTAGAACCCCATAAATTAATTATAATCAGAATTACTTAGAATTATAATTCTAAGTAAATTAGAACCCCATTAATTAATCAGACACCTCATAATTGGTACAGCAGGGAAATAACACACCACATAAATAATAATTGACTGAGAGGGCTGAGGCAGCAGGGAAAGCAAAGGAGCTCAGGCTCAGTCCTAATTCCAAGCCTAAATCCACGTGAAGATGTTAAAACTGACAACAAAACACGTGCCCAAGTCAAAATTTGATCTTTGGCCATTAAATTTATAAGTTTCAAGTGCCCACTTTCACTCTGGGAAGACTCAGGATCATCAGCTCCCGCTGGGAATGTGCTCCAGGAGCTCCCTGTTCACCCCCCAAAGCCTCATCCAGCTCCTGGCTTTTAATCCCTGCCCTGTAGTTCAGTTTGGAAGGTTTTTGTTCAATTAGACACAGAAATATCCCCCCCAGATGAGCCCAACACCTACTCATTAGCCTCAAATATCCTCTCCTCTTTGATCCTCTCTCCGGAATATTCCGTTCGTTTCCGGAGCCGCTCCGGGCGTTTGTAGGGCCCAGTTTGCCCCAAAACACTTTCATCGATTTCCTTCTTAACACTTTCTACTCCCTGGAAGGAAAAGAATCCCTGTTAAATTCCATTTATTGGCCCCCCCTCACCCTTCCCAAAAAGTGCCCCTGGAGCCTTCCCTTCTCCAGCCTGGCCTTGGACACTTCCAGGGATGAGGCAGCCACAGTTTCTCTGGGAATTCCATCCCCACCCTCACAGCCAGAAATTCCTTCCCAATATCCCAATTAAATTCCCCTCTTTCACTTGGAAGCCATTCCCTGTCTCCTGTCCCTCTATCCCTTATCCCAAGTCCCTCTCCAGCTCTCCTGGAGCCCCTTTAGGCCCTGGAAGGGGTTTAAGGAATCCTTGGAACCTTCTCCAACCTGGCCTTGGACACACTCCCAGGGATGGGGCAGCCACAGCTTCCCTGTGCCAGGAAGAGCCTCTCAAGGTGGAATTTCCTCCCTGTGCTTTCTGGGAAAACGTGGGTGGGTGTGTGTGTGGGGGGAGAAAAATGTTCTTAAAGCATTTGCCTTAATTAAGCTTTTTTTTTTTTTTTTAATATATATATTTGGAGGGACAGTCAGAGCCAGAAGAATCCACACATTCCCAATAACTCATCCCTCCAACGAGCCTGACTAAGCCCCAGGGAGAGCTCCCAGTGCTTGGATCTCATCGAAAAAAAGGAGGAAAATCATCCTGGAATCGTTCCCTGCCCAAAAAAAAACCATCTCAGGGGGTTTGGTTGATGATTTGAGCACCTGGAGGGGCAGCTGCTGCTCCGTGGAGCTGGAGCTGGAAACCAGCTCATCCAAAAAAACCCTTCCCCCTCTAAGGAGTCGTTCCTAAATGAGGGATTGGCACGGGAATTCCCTGGAGCCGGAGTTCCACACGGAGAATTCCGCCTGCTGAGGGCTGGGAAGGAGCAATCCCCTCATTCCAGGAAGGCCAGGGAGGAGGAAATCCCTAAGGAATGATTTTGTGGGGCAGGAAGAGAGGAGCAAAGTGCACAGAGGGATCCCATCCCATCCCATCCCGATCCCATTCCAGCCAAATCGGGCCGAAAACTGGGAAATGGCCAAAGAAGATCTTCAGGGAAGGGTTTGGGCTGTGAAGAGACTCAAAATGTTCAAATCCCCACAGAGCAGCCCTGAGTGCTTGGGGATAACAGGGGGGAAAGGTCCCTCCTTCCCAGTGGGAAATCTCATGGAATTCTGGCATGGTTTGGGTTGGGAGGGACCTTAAAGCTCATCTCCTCCCACCCCAAAAACCTCAACCCCTTCCCCTGATTCCAGCCTCAAATCCCAAAGGATTTTGCCTCAGGCCCTTCTGTGCACACCCCACATTCCAGACTCCCTTGGCTCATCCCCAGCTCCCCCTCCCAGCACCAAAACAGGGATGAGGAAAAAAGAGGGAAACCCCCCTGGGTTTAAAGGGAAAAACAGGTGGAGCCAGAGCTGGGAAACCCTTTTCTTCCCTGAGCTTGGAGGGGGGGGAAAACTGAGTCCTGCATCCAGGTGGATCCCACAGTATCCAGGTGAATCCCACAGTATCCAGGTGGATCCCATGGTATCCAGGTGGATCCCACAGTATCCAGGTGGATCCCACGGCATCCAGGTGGATCCCACAGTATCCAGGTGAATCCTACAGTATCCAGGTGGATCCTATGGTATCCAGGTGAATGTCACGGTATCCAGGTGAATGTCACAGTATCCAGGTGGATCCCATGGTATCCAGATCCCATGGCAGCCAGGGGATGAGGGGGAACAGGGAGACGCCCCCGGAATGTCAGAGCCGCTCCCGGAGCAGCTCCTGGCGCTGGAAAAGTGGTGAGTCACCATTCCCATGGCAACTCCACTTCCCTTGGAGACATCCCGGGGTTGGGAGCCACCGGCAAGGACTGAGGAGTGCCCGGCACCTGGGAACCAGGGAATGGGAAAGGTGGGAAAGAACCTCCGAGCCCAGGGAGTCCAATCATCCCCCAGCGCTGCCACGGCCACCCGTGTCCCCAAGGGCCACATCCACGGGTTTTTGGGGCACTTCCAGGGATGGGAACTCCACCCCCACCCTGATTTAGGTGTAGATCCGGATTCAGATCCCAGATTTCGGGTGGGGATGCTCCCTCAGGGACAGCTGGCACTGCTTCCCGGACCTGGCATGGATCCCTGCCCAAATCCATGGAAACCCTTCCCTGCAGAGCTCCCCGAGGGTGCCCAGAGCTCCAGCTGTGTGTGGGCTGGCTCTGGGCACAGACACTTCAGCAGCTCCTCTCCCTCCAGCAGATGCATCCCCGGATTTCACAGCTTGGGAAGAGCAGCAAAAACCAGCTGGAATCTTCAGGATGGTGCCAGGGCCGAGCTGGGAAGTGCAAAACAACTTCCCAGCCTTTTAGCAGCTGCCTCACACATCCCTCTTGGAGCCCTTCCCATTCCTCTGACATTCCACCTGCTCCCTCACTTTCCCATTCCTCACTCCACCTCTTCCTCACCTTCCCATTCCTGACACTCCACTTGCTCCATCCTCACCTTCCCACTCCTCTGACATTCCATCTACTCCCTCTTCACCTCTCCCACTCCTCTGACACTCCATCTACTCCTCACCTTCCCATTCCTTACACTCCATTTGGTCCCTCACCTTCCCACTCCTGACATTCCACCTGTTCCCTCCTCTCCTTCCCATTCCTCTCACATTCCACCTGCTCCCTCTTCACCTTCCCATTCCTGACACTCTTCCTGCTCCCTCACTTGCCCACTCCTCTGACATTCCACCCCCCCTTCACTTCTCCACTCCTGACACTCCATCTCCTCCTCTCCTTCCCATTCCTGACACTCCACCTGCTCCCTCTTCATCTTCCCATTCCTCACACTCTTCCTGCTCCCTCACCTTCCCACTCCTCTGCCATTCCACCTCCTCCTTCACTTCTCCACTCCTGACACTCCATCTCCTCCTCACTTTCCCACTCCTGACACTCCACCTGCTCCTCCTCACCTTCCCACTCCTCTGCCATTCCACCTCCTCACCTTCCCACTCCTCCCTCCACCCGCTCCCTCCTCCCCTATCCCACTTTTCCCACTCCCCCTGCTCCTCCTCCTCACCCCACCAACCCCACCCAGCCTTGGCTGTGGCTCTTTGGTGGCACCAGAAGCCACCACAACGTTCCCCCTGTGGAGACCCAACCACACAAACCTCCCCCCCAGCTGCCATTCCCAGCCATTCCCAACCATTCCCGGCCATCCCACAAATCCAGCCTGACTCCAGGTGCAAAGTCCTGCTTGTATTTGGCTGGTAAAGTGCGAGGCAGGGACACAAGGCCTGGTGGTGGAGCTTGGACAGGACACGTGGCAGCTCAGAGTGGAAAAAAGGCTTTTCCAGGGCTGCTCCGAGGCCGCCGGAGGTGGGAATTAGACCTGGAACAGCCCCCTCCCGATTCCCACCTCGCTGGAATCCTGGGAAACGCTCCAGGCACGACGAAAGAAGGACCAGGCCGTGTCTCTGAGGTGGAGCTCTACAAACCCTTGGACACAGCAAAGCACGGGGCAGGGAGGGCACACCCGCCCGGCTCCTCCGGGCATTTGGGATCACCGGCATCACCCGCTCTCCCAAAAAAAAGCCCCCCAAGAGCCCCCAGCCTGGCTTTTTCCCCCCACAGTCCAGGAGGCTGGGGCGAGTTCCGAGCTCCAGAGGGTCAGGAAGGCCCTGGCTGCATGGATTCCTCAGAGGACCTGCTCGGTGCTGGACGAGGAGATGTCCAGGAGCCTCCAGGCCGCGTAGGGATTGAGCTCGTCCTGGTCCCGGCACAGGGCCCACACGTAGAGCATCCTCAGCACCTTGTCCTGCAGGGAAAATCCCGGGATTAGCCAGGGCAGGGACACAGCTCCCGGCTCCCAGGCACGGGATCCACGTTTCTGATGGAGCTGGGGGGGCTCAGCCTGGAGAAAAGGGGCTCCCAGCTCCCAGTCTGGGGGGAAAGGATCCACGTTTCTGATGGAGCTGAGCCTGCAAAAAAGGGACTTCCAGCTCCCAGTTCCCAGCTCAGGGGGAAAGGATCCATGTTTCTGATGGAGCTGAGGGGGCTCAGCCTGGAGAAAAGGGCTCCCAATTCCCAGTTTGGGGGGAAATGATCCACGTTTCTGATGGAGCTGAGGGGGCTCAGCCTGCAGAAAAGGGACTTCCAATTCCCAGTTCCCAGCTCTGAGGGCAAAGGATCCATGTTTCTGATGGAGCTGGGGAGCTCAGCCTGGAGATAAAGGACTCCCAATTCCCAGTTCCCAGTTTAGGGGGGAAAGGATCCATGTTTCTGATGGAGCTGAGGGTGCTCAGCCTGCAAAAAAGGGGCTCCCAATTCCCAGTTCCCAGTTTGGGGGGAAAGGATCCACGTTTCTGATGGAGCTGGGGGGGCTCAGCCTGGAGAAAAGGGGGCTCAGGGAGAACCTTCTCCCTCTCCACAACTCCCTGCCAGGAGGAGGGATCCAGGGGGAGTCTCTTTTCCCAGAAAACACAAATCCCAGAACCTCAAGTCACACCAGAGGAGGTTTAGCTTGAACATCAGGGATCTTGTTTTTTCATGGAAAGGGTCCCCACTCCTGGAAATTCCCAAAAAACCTGTGGCTGTGGCCCTTGGGGACATGGATTGATGATCCCAAAGCTCCTTTTTAACCTGAATAATTCCAGGATTCCTTTCCCTCCCACAGACACTGTTCCTGTGATTTTCCTCTCTGCTTCCAACTTCCCTCTCCTGGAACTTCATCACAAGATCAAAACTCGCCGAATTTCCAAAATTAGAACCAGGGTTCCCAAAAATCCCTGCCTGACACACATTAGGAGGCCCCACTGCCAAAAGTTGGATAAGACTTGACCTTGTTTTGTTGGTTTTTTTTAAGCAGAAATTTCTGGGTTTTAAAATTGCCTGGGCTGGAACTTTCCATCCAAGATTTAGGATCTTTAGCTCTTCCCTGGGAGCTGCATTTGGAAATATTAATGTATTTTAAAGCAAATTTTCTTTATTTTTTTTGGAGTGTTTCGGATGATTTCGCTTCAGTTCTGCTCTGAAGTGGTAAAATCATCCAGATGTAAAATCATCCAGATGTTTTTGGGATGTGCCAGGAGGAAAAAGAGAAGGAAAACACATCCACAACCATCCCAATGGATCTTTCCTGAGGATAAATCACTTGGAATAAGCTCAGGATGAAGTGGCTTGAACTGATTTAGTGGTTTGAACTGATTTAGTGGAACCTGGATTTGGGTGGGTTTTTAGGATTTGGGGTTTTTTTCTGACCTGGTGCTCTTATTAATGGGGAATATCTTAATCCTCAGTGGGCATCTGCTCCATATATCCATGGAAAGTGGGAATTCTGGACCCCCCCAAAGGTAGATTTCTGCCAATCTGTCCTGAAATCTGGGATTTTAAAGAGATTCCCTTGACCTGGTTGTCCAAGGCCTCCTCTTCTCAATTTTCTGGGAACCTGAACAATTCCAAGCAGGCTAAAAATCCCAGGGGGGATTCCAAGTGATGCCTGTTCGGAGAATTTCCAGTCTGCAGCTGGAAGTTGTGGCTGCTCCAAAGCCCTCAAAGCCAATTTGGGGCAACCTGGGATAGTGGAAGATGTTTAAGGATGAACTTTAAGGCCCCTTCCAACCCAAATCATCCTGTGATTCCATGGATTTGAGGCTCCTCTTCCCCTAAAACGCCCCAATCCCAGTCACCACCCAGGCTGCCACTTGATTAAAGCTCAATTTTGGTTTCCAGTGGAAGGTTTTAATGCATCTCCTTGATTTATTGCTGCCCCCAGAGAAATCAGACAGCCAACAGACTTTGATATCCTGTTCCATAATGATCCCATCAATATCCATCTTCCAGGAATGCACTAATTTAATGCAAGGAATCACTGGATCAGCTGTTCCTCCCCCTGCAGCCCCAGTGACAGGCTGTAAATCAGCCCAAGAATTCAAATTAATCCCTTTTTTTTTTTTTGCAAACTAAAGGCAAGGGTTGCAAAAAAAAAAGAGGAAAAAAGCCAATATTTATTAAATGCCTGTATTAATCCCAAGGAAAACGAGCTGGGAACTGCCAGCTCCAGACATCTCCCTCATTAGCCATCATTAAGCTACTTAAATATTGCACAGGCACGAGGCAGGTTGGAGCTGTCTGGAGTGAAACTCCTGGGAATAAAGGTATTCCAGAGGCTCCTCTGTCATCAATTCTGGGAACAAGGATGTTCTGACAGCTTGACATCACTCCAGCCCCAGCTCCCAAGAGGTGCCAGGGATTTGCTCCACAAATCATTCCCTGCCCGAGGCTTCCCCAGGAACCACACACGGCGTTAAATCCAATTTATGGATGGCGGAATTCCATGGAATTCCATGGAATTTCACTCACCGGATTTCCTTCCACCACCTCTCCTTTGTGGTTCTTTATCACCATCACGACCTGAGCCTGGAAGGTGATGATCAAAACTGGTCCCTGCTCCATCATCTTCCCCATGGCCAACTGCAAGGAGAGGGAATTCCGTCAGAAAATAAGGAAATGCCCTCAGAAAAACAGAAAATTCCATCAGAAAACTAGAAAATTCCATCAGAAAACCAGCAAGTTCCATCAGAAAACCAGCAAGTTCCACCAGAAAACCAGCAAGTTCCACCAGAAAATAAGCAAATTCCCTCAGAAAACCAGAAAATTCCCTCAGAAAACTGGAAAATACCCTCAGAAAACCAGCAAGTTCCCTCAGAAAACCAGTAAATTCCATCAGAAAACTAGAAAATTCCTTCAGAAAACCAACAAATTCCCTCAGAAAACCAGTAAATTCCATCAGAAAACCAGAAAATTCCCTCAGCAAATAAGCAAATTTGGTGCTGTTTGCCTTTGGGATCAGCCTTCCCCAACCCAGCTGCTGCTGAGCCGAGCCAAGGTGCCCCGAGAGCAAGGACACAAACCACAGACTCGGGCTCGAGCACAAAATTCCAGGAGTTTTCCCTTCCGGAGCGGGATTCTGCCTGCCATTAGAGGGATTCTCCCTTCCAGAGTGGGATTCTCCCTTCCAGCAGTGGGATTTTCCCTTCTGGAGTGGGATTCTCCCTTCCAGCAGTGGGATTTTCCCTTCTGGAGTGGGATTTTCCCTTCCAGAGTGGGATTCTCCCTCTCAGCAGTGGGATTTTCCCTTCCACAGTGGGATTCTCCCTTCCAGCAGTGGAATTCTCCTTTCCAGCAGTGGGATTCTCCCATTCCACCAGTGGGATTCTCCCTTCCAGAGTGGGATTCTCCCTCCCAGCAATGGAATACTCCCTTCCAGCATTGGAATTCTCCCTTCCAGCAGTGGGATTCTCCCTTCCAGAGTGGGATTCTCCCTTCCACCAGTGGGATTTTCCCTCCCAGCACTGGAATTCTCCCTTCCAGCCCTGGGATCTGTCCCTGTGGGAGCAGAGCTGTCCAACCCCAGAGGCAAGACCCAGCAGTTAAAGCAAAAACGGTTGGATTTGATGACCTTGGAGGTGTTTTCCAACCTCAATGATTCCCAGAAAACCCCTGCTGAGTTTAATCCAGGCCCCAAAGTGAAATCCTGGGACACTCACGTCGATGTTGTCGATGTCCAGGATCCTGGAATGGAACTGGAGCCCCAAGGCTTTGGCTTGCTGGATGGGATGAGCCAGCTGGCTGTAAGTCTAAAAGGAAGCAACAAAAAAAACCCCTTTGGAATTGTCCTGTCCCAAAGAAAAAAGAGGAAGTTCCATGCAGGGAGAACTAGCAAAAAACCAAAGGGAAGAGGGATCTGCTGGGATATTGCAGTGGGATATCCAGGGATATCAGGACTCTCCAAGCACCACCTTTTTGGGGCAGCTTGGGTGTCCCTGCAGCTTCCCAGCCGGTTTTTTGGGATCTCCCAAAGCCCTAAATAATTTTGGGAAGGTGCTGGATGGCTCTCTGGTAGCAAAGAGCTGCACCAGCGCTCCGGGGTTCCCCAAAATTCCCTTCTAAATCCCATTTTTCCCTGCCAAGAATGTGTGGACACCAAGGCATTCCTTCCACCCTTCGCCACGAGGGAACATCCCGTAGGAATTCCAGGATTGGAGCCACGGAGAGGGAATTCCAAAGGCAGCAAATCCCAAAGCATCCCGGCTTGAGCACACAATTCCAGGAGTTCTCCCTTCCAGAGCGGGATTCTGCCTCCCAGCAGTGGGATTTTCCCTTCCAGAGTGGGATTCTCCTTTCTAGCAGTGGGATTCCCCTTCCAGAGTGGGATTCTCCCTTCCAGAGTGGGATTCTCCCTTCCAGCAGTAGGATTTTCCCTTCCACTAGTGGGATTCCCCTTCCAGAGTGGGATTCTCCCTCCCAGCAGTGGGATTCTCCCTTCCATCAGTGGGATTTTCCCTTCTGGAGTGGGATCCTCCCTTCCAGAGTGGGATTTTCCCTC